AGCGCCTTGAGCATACATACAAACAAGAAATGGTCACATTAAAAAGGATTTAAGTGCTAGATTAGAAGATATTGAACAGACCATATCTGATCTGCACGCCCGTGTGACGCTTCATGATACTACACTGCAGGAACACACCGTGCTTATACATCAATTGATCTATAATCAGGATGATCAGGAAAAAAGAAACCGCCGCAACAATATACGAATTGAATCCAAGGATCTTGAAACTGCTGCGATGGTGATCTTCAATCAACTTCTAAATAAACCTAAGGATACTCCTGTGGAGCTAGACAGAATCCACCGGACACTAGAGATGTCATTTGCCGTGTACACTTCTTCAAAATTAAAGAAGACAAGCTGATTGTCGCTGCCGCTTTATGAATCGAAGATGCTGCGATGTGGTTTCAAGTTATTGATCTCCCCCCCCCCCCCACACCCTTTTTTTTTTACTTCTTTGTCTCCCAATCCCTCTTAGAGAGCTCCCCCTCTGCCCGCATAGGTCTGCGTCTCTGGTCGGATCACGCCCCCATCTTTTTCACCGCAGGTGCCCCTTTCATAGTCGGGCGCCCTTATCCTGGCGCCTCAACGATACTCTTCTTCAGGACTCAGTCTGTCACGATGATATCAGATGCACCATAAGTGATTTTGTCTTGAATCATGCCTCTGACTCCACCCATCCATTAACTCAATGGGCTGCCCTGAAATGTGTTATTCGCGGTGTCTGTATTAAGCATGGCTCTAGGCTTAAAAAAGTGCGTTCTTCGCGGATCACAGAATGACTAACCTCTATAGCTACTTTGGAGAACCTGCACAAAGCCGACTCTCTCCCCCTCTACCTTTGTAGAGCTGTCCAATGCTCGCCGGGAACCGCTTTCCATGTTTGACGCTCACTCGCGTATTGCCAGGGATAAAGCCTGTAAAGTGCGCTATGAATCAGCTAATAAATGTGGACACCATCTCGCCAAGACCCTACATCCTAGATCCCCACATACGTTTATCCCTTTCCTCATACCACCACTGGCATAACTGACGAGTTCCATCACTATTACTCAACGCTATATAATCTCCCCGCCTCCCTTCCTTCACCCTCACTTAGCGACCCAGTGGAATCAAAGGCGGCCTATGTTGAATGCACTGCTCTCCCTTCTTTGGACTCTTCCATGATACATGCCATGGACTCTCCATTCTCTTCTGAGGAAATTGATATGGCCATTCGCTCTCTCAAACCGGGTAAATGTCCGGGTCCAGATGGCTATTCTCCACGATTTTTTAAGTCATTTGCTGACCTTCTTGCCCCTATACTAACTCGCACTTTCAACTCAGTAGACGAGGCACACCCCTTTCCCCCCACTATGCTAGAGGCCACTATATGTGTCATCCGCAAACCGGGCAAAGATCATTCATTGTGCAACAACTACAGACCGATTTCGCTCCTTAACGTGGACCCCAAATTATTTTCTAAAGTTCTTGCCCTGCGTCTCTCTCCCTCCCTGCCCTCTATCATTAACGCTGAACAGGTGGGGTTTGTTCCTGGCCGTGAAGCCAGGGACAATACTACTAAGACAATCCACTTAATCTCTCATGTTCAAAAGTCTAAAACTCCTTCCTGTCTACTGTCTATAGATGCTGAAAAAGCCTTCGATAGGGTTGACTGGCATTTTCTACATCACTCTTTGCTCCAAATAGGCCTTGGCCCTAACATCGTCTCCAAGATTATGTCCCTTTACTCATCCCAGATGGCTCGAATTATGGTAAATAATTCACTTTCTCAACCTTTTTCTATATCGAATGGCACTAGACAGGGATGCCCCCTTTCGCCCCTCCTATACGTGATTGTGATGGAACACCTGGCGCAAGCTATCCGATCCAATCCTGACATCAAGGGCATCCAAGCGCCCTCGTTCCACCACAAAATGTCATTGTATGCAGATGACTTGCTCCTTTATATCACACAGCCACATATTAGTATTCCTGCGTTAATACAGGAATTTAAAATATTTGGCCTGTTCACTTCGATTAATCATTAATTATTTTAATCGATCAAAATTATTTTGATCGCTCAAAGTTCTTTTGATCCATACTCACCTCTCTGCCGGCTTCCGGGTCTTCCGTCGATGTCCGCGACGTCACCGGACTCCTCCCCCTTCCACAAGTGGCTCTGTCGGCTAACGAAGGGAAGGTGGGTGGAGTCCGGTGACGTCGATGTCCGTGACATCACTGGACTCCTCCCCCTTTCCTTAGTTATCAGAGGGAGTATACAGTGAGTACACAGCCTAACTCTCCCGGCCACCCGCGAGAGTGGTTTAATCTGCTCTCTCTTTTTACCGGAAAGGTTTAATCTGCTCAATCGAGCAGATTAAACCTTTCCCTGCGATCGTTTTTTTTTTTTTTCGAACAGGAAAATTGTAATCATTACCAGCCCTAAAATATATATATATATATATATATTATTTTTTTAAATAACAGGAATTTTAGGGTGTACAATAACATCAAAGGCAAAATCCAATACATGCTTATGACATTTCCAAATACAGAACAGGTTTATGCAAAAGTTCTATGAACATCTGCTTCTTGACTTTTCATTGTCCACTAGAGGGGGTTTTTCGAAAGAGCCCAATTATGTGTGAAACAGAAAAACATTAACAATTACTATAGAATGAGTCACCATTACAGTTAGTTTTTGCCATCATCATCATATAATTCACTATCACAGGACTGAGACTAAAGATAAATTACCATTTTAAAAATAAGTCTACAGGAAAATATACATGAAAGATATTACAGGCCATGACAGATGTCCGTGTAGCAGAGCTACAAATAAATATACAGAACACTGTCTTATATGGGGCTGTAAATCAAAACTCTAGACTAGTTACATTATGGCAGATTTGATGAATAACAGTCCTATTTAATCCCCAACAGCACAGTATGATGAATATTAATGCAATGCTGAAGAATTTTGAACAAGACAGAGGTGAGGCTGCCAGGAAGTGTTTCTAGATCAATTGTAAACTCAATAGTTCAATTAGTGCATCCTATCTTTGTAATAAGGGCATAGCTGCATGTGCTTCCAGAGTTAATGAGCAGACCAGCATGCATGTCAATGCAGTGCAGTGCCTGGGCAATGTGCAGTCAACAAGTCAACTATGAATTCTGCATAATATCAAAGAATGCTTGATGAAAACGGGGGTCCCATGTATCTCAAAGTGGAAGTTGAACAGGAAATGGATATTGTAACATGAGACGGATCCAAATCATCCTAGCATCCCCACAGTTTAAAAAACAAACAGGAGTGGACAATTATGCAAAACACCTAGAAAAAGTCATTTCTGATAAAGTGAGCAATACCAGCTTCTGAGGCCAAGCATGTACTTACTTTTCACACAGGACATCAAAACAGCTATTTACATTTTTTTTGTTAAATAAATGTCTTGTGTTTTTTCCCCAAGTATATAACCTTTATCAGTAGGCACTGCATGAATGAAGACCTACAGGGTTATTCACAAAAGGGTGAAGAGTTTGGAGAAGGCAGGAGAAGTGAACAATCTAGGACAACATAGCTGTACTGGAAAGTGATCTGAATTAGAGAACTTTTCCAAATCTGCTATGTTGTCCTAGATTGTTCACTTCTCTGGCCTTCTCCAAACTCTTCACCCTTTTGTGAATCACCCTGATAATGTTTTTCTGTTCAAATAGATTGAACTTCATCACATGGCTGTAACCATATAGCCAACTAGCTCATTATCACTCATCAATCATATGTCACCCTGCTGAAGCTGTATTGTTTTTGATAAATGCATAAAACATGACAACTTTGACCAATTAATTTGGAATTTCAGCAATCATTTTAGATTGATACAGATGGCGTAGCGGTTGACACTTCTGCCTTGCAGCACGGTGGGTCCCCAGTTTCCCGGTCAGGACACTATCTGCAAGGAGTGTGCATGTTCTTAGATTGTAAACTCCTTGAGGGCAAGAACTTAGCTGCAAAAGTGATGGTTTTGCAAAGAATGGGTTCCACCTCCATTTGGGGAATATGGTCTTAATAATTTAGGAAACTTTGGGGTATGTGGTGTAATTTAACTGCAACTCTAGATCCTACAGTGAAGACACATATAACCCTGGTATACTTAGCTTTAGATAAGGAAAGACTCAGACAAAGAATATGATTTCTTAGCGGTGTTTATTTAGCACTAGACATGCAAGGTTTGAACTATTCTGACATAATTGTAGTTTCTTAGATACTTATGTGTCAACATTTCATTGCTAAATAATGGTTAGACTGCAACAGTTATTTATTTAAAAACCTGGGATTTGTTGGTAACAAAAACTTAAAAGGTCAGGTGGGATAAAAAAATAGACATGTGCGATTCATTTAGTTCCGAATCGAAATTCGGAAGAAATTTCGGAAATTCGTGGATTCGGATCATCCGAATTTCCGAAATGTACCATGTCCGAATTCATCCGAAATTCCGGATCCGGAATTTCGGATTCAGTCCGAATTTCGTCCTAACAGAAACAAAATTAGAAATTTACGATAATGACTTCAAAAAGAGGATTTCATAGCATGTGAAGATAAAAACAAAACATTACTTCATGTTCCTGTGCATGCACCGTCAACTTACAAAAAAATTAAGAAAAGGATTTTAATGTCCCTTTAATAGTGAAGTCTAGAGCACAGCAACCGGAAATGTCAACTGTGCCAATTCTGCTACGTACGCGAGTACGAACATTCGGGCAAAACCCCAAATTTCGGAAATTCGTCCGAATTCCGAATCCCAAAACGAAACACATACAGGACCCGATTTCAGAAATCCGAAACGAAACTAAACAAATTTTTTGCGGCTGCACATGTCTAATAAACAACGATTTGTTGCATGCAGTTAATTATCATTTCAAGGTAAATTGAATGTGGAACCAGTTAGAAATACAAAAGCACAAAAGTTTAACAAAGGCCTTATTGCAATATAGTTAAACTTTTTTTTAAAGTGACTTACCATAGTTTCCAGGAGGTTGCAAAGAATCACCAGTTATACTGCACCATCCAACTGGAAAGATGTCTCTGGAGTCATATCTGCACCAGTAATCAAATGCCCCTCTCCATCCATCAAATGTTATAAAGATTTCATCTCCTCTCACTTCACCTACTGTAGCTGGACATATTAAAAAAGGATTTTTCTTGTCCACAGCTTCAAGTTTTAGTCCAGGTTTAAATAGGTTCTGGGGTGGCTTTTGTGGCTCCTAATAGAAAAATACAATGTATTAATAGATTATAAAAAAAATGGAATATATGACTGTACAATCAAAAGTAGGGATGCACCCATACAAGTATCGGTATTGGTGCCGATACCAGGTATTGGTGCCGATAACAAGTATTTGGACGAGTACCTGTACTCACCCAAATGCTACTGATGCCTAGTCCGATACACGAACTTCCGGTATCAGGAAGCCGGGCGGCGAGTACACGGCATCCGGCTTCCCGATTGACCGGGAAGCCGGCTGAATCCTCTCTCGTTACCAGGAAGCATGGGGCTGGCTTCTCGGCTAATCAGGAAGCTGGGGGGCAGGTAATGAATCGCCCCCAGTCTTCCTGAATTGGCTGGAAAACCGGCTTCATGCTCCCTCGTCACATTACACACCGTTCGGCTTCCTGATTGGCTGGGAAGCAAGCTCCATGCTCCCTCATCACCAGGGAGCATGGAGCTGGCTTCCCGACTAATCAGGAAGCCAGTCCGCTAGACATTACATACCGCCCCGCTTCCTTAATAGAACTTTTAGTATCAGTATTCAGTATCAACGAGTAACGGGGAAAAAAAAATATCGGTACTCTATACCGAAAAACCGGCATCGGTGCATCCCTAATCAAAAGTTTGACCTACTGAACAACAGTAAACTAACAAAAATATAAGAAACTTGTTGATTTTTGCTAGAGTTTATACATTAATATATATACATTAATATATATATATACATTAA